CACTCTCTGCAAAGCTTTTCTTTCTGCAGCTGTGCAGTCTCCATGCCACACGTTGATGCTGGAGCACAGGATGCTCTCCACTGCACACCTGTAGAAGGAGGTGAGGACTGAGCTTCCAGACCAGCTCGTCTCAGCCGTCTGAGGAAGTAGAGTCTCTGATGAGCTTTCTTGATCAGGCTGGTGGTGTTGTTGCTCCAGCTGAGGTTGTTGTTCAGGTGCACACCCAAGTACTTGTAGCTGGAGACCACTTCCACTGCAGATCCTCTTATGTTCAGGGGGGTGTAGGTGTTTTTGTTCCTTCTGAAGTCCACAATCATCTCCTTTGTCTTCTTCACATTGATGTGAAGGTTATTCTCTCTGCACCAGCTCTCCAGGTGTTCCACCTCTTGCCTGTAGCTGGACTCATCATTGTTTGTGATGCATCCCACCACCGCTGTATCATCTGCAAACTTTACAATGTGACAGCCTGGATGGGTAGCTGCACAATCATATGTGAGCAGAGTAAACAGGAGGGGGCTCAACACACATCCCTGAGGAGAGCCAGTGCTGAGGGTTATGGTGGAGGAAATAACTCTCTTGGTCTGAAATAAGAGATTAACCTAAAATTTTCATTCATTCATTCAACCTTTATTTATTCAGGTTAATCCCATTGAGCCTCGAGGACTCATTTACAAGAGAGACCTGATTTCAACAAAGAAAGATGACAACAATGGACAACAGCAACAACAATAAACAGTTATAAAAAGTCAGACTGCAGTTAGTTTTTTTTTTTTTACAGATAGGATGGCTAAAAGGAAAAGATAAACAAAAAAAACAGTTAGATTCTAAGGTGAATGTAGAAACTAAAAACAGGAACATGTCTGCATTGGTCCCTGCCAGGAGTCCAACAGATTCTTAAAGACACTTAGAGAGGTCAAAGGTCGAGAGCTTCAGATCTTTTTACAAGATGTTCCAGGAAACAGGAGCGGAGTAGGAGAAGGTCCTTTTGTCTAGTTCAGTCCTCACTGAGGGAACACTGCAGGTAATGATGTCCTGAGAGCGCACGCTGTAGCTGCACTCACACAGAGACATGTAGGAGGAGATGTATGAGTATATAAAATAAACACCATTAAATTAGCATGAGCATGCATCAGGATACCATTAAAATCATTTCAGTGTAAAACAACCATGATGTGTCTTTTCCTTTAGTTGAAAGTTTTCCTTTCAAAATAAAATCAACCTGAATATAAACTGTATTTAAACTGAACGTTTTACACTCTGCTGCTAAGCTCCGCCCCCTCTGTCCACACCCTCAGGTGGGACACATTCCAGTCACACCTGTGGGGATCAGAGCTCAGAATGTGGGCTGACCGGTTTGACCCGGATCAGTTCCAGTTGGGTTTACTTTGACCCAGAGTGAAAGAGGAAGTTCCTCAGGAGTCTTTAAACTTCATCTTCACCGATTCTTATCAGCAACGTCGTTCTGAATGTTTCTTTGATTTTGCTGAAAAAGTTGCTGACCTCAGTCATTGACTTCCTGCTCAGCTTTGTCACCTGATCAAGCTCAAACATCATCACATCATCACAACAACGACAACAACAACAACAACAACAACAACAACAACAACAACAACAACAA